CTATATATACATAGAGTACTATAACCTGAAACTCTGTCTCTCTCTCAGTGCGACATTGGTGAACGATGTGCAATGAAACATGGACCTCGAATCGGTCGACTGTGCGACTGTCTGAGAGGAACCGCCTGTAACACCTTCTTCCTGCGCTGCTACTGACACACACAMACACACACACACACACACACACACACACACACATCCTATCCCTGGTCCTCACATGTGACTGCATGTCTCTGTCTGTTTTAGTGTTCGTCTCAGATTCATGTATTTTTATTAAATAAAGTTTCTTCATAAAGCTGCTAATCTCCACTGAGTCGTCTATATGTGAACATATAATATACATACATATAAAGATGATCAGTGACTGTTTATAAACACCATCAGGAGGAGTTTCCTGTAGTGACTTTGAAACATACATAAATACATTTTCACAGAGACGTTTAAACACCAGATTTCACTCTGAAGATGAATCGTCCCTGATCAGACCCCCAGTGAAGCTGATCGTCCCCGAGGCCTCGTCACGCAACAGCTGACACGTCCCTTAAAAAGACCCGACAGCAGCAGCGTCAAAGGTTCAACTCCCTTCATGTGATTCGGGCAACGTGACATAAAAGTGAATCGTGTTGACGTGTTGGTTTAGAGTCTGAGCCTCAAGAGGGCGCCAGCTGCGCTGCACACAAATTGTCTGATCTATTTGTATTTTTGTGTTAAATGCAGAGGTGGCAAAAGTACTCACATCCTGTATTTAAGTAAAAGTACAGATACTTGATTCAACTCATTTACTCAAGTAAAGTAAGAAAGTACAGGCTCTGAAAAGTACTTAAGTACAAAAGTAAAAATGAATTTTTAACTTCAATGATACATGATGCCTCTTTTAGGCAAATAAAAAAGGATAATTTGACTGTTTTGTTAACAACCTGCACAGAGCTGGTACACAGAGAGAGAATCACGGGACACAGTTTAGTTTTGCTGCCAAATTTCAGACAGAATAATGACGACTGAACTGAACCGAGGTCCAGCATGAGCAAGGTCTCTGTAGGTGAACCTGAGGAAGGATCATTACCAGTACAGCAGCTCCACCAACCTCCAGACGCCTAGGGTCTCATGCTGCCCCCCAGTGGCACACACACCACCAGGGCCTGCGCTTCTCCCGAGGCAGGGGGGCAAGCGAGTGAGCGAGAGGTGCTCCGTGCGTGAAAGCATAAAAAAAACAATCCAGATCTTAAAATGTAAGGAGTAGAAAGTACAGATGTTTTTGTTCAAATGAAGCGAGTAAAAGTAAAAAGTCGTCAGGAAAATAAATACTCAAGTAAAGTACAGATACCTGAAAAATCTACATAAGTATAGTAACAAAATATTTGTACTTCGTTACTTCCCACCTCTGGTTAACAACTTACTTCAAAAAGGCCAAACTACAAAGTGCTACATGTAAGTTTCTTTATTTAACCAAGGTGTAGTCTGAAGACACGTGTCTTTAGTCTGATGGAAGATGTGGAGACTTTCTGTCCGGGAGTCAATGTGGAGCTCGTTCCATCGTTTAAGAGCCAGGACAGAAAACAGTCGTGATTTTGTTGAGCGTTAGCGCTCGGAGAGGGAGCTGCTGATTGGCAGATGCCGAGCGTAGTGGAAGTGCTTGGGTGTAAGGTTTTACCGTGTCCTGGATGTAGACTGGACCCGATCCGTTAACAGCACGGTACAAGTACTAGTGTCTTTACCGGATGCTGGCAGCCACTGGTAACCAGTGAAGGGAGTGGAGGAGTCTGAGTGAACTTAGGTTGAAGACCAGTCGAGCTGCTGCGTTCTGGATGAGCTGCAGCGGTCAGAAAGCACTAGCAGGAGGAAAGTCCAGTAGTCTGGATGTTGACAGTAAGGGAGAGTTGACTGTCCAGTGTCACACCCAGGTTCCTAGAGGTCTGGGTGAGGGCTACCACGGAGTTGTTGATGGCAAGCCAGGAGGGAGTTGCAGTAGTCTAGTGATGTGATTGGCTGAGAGTGTTTCTTTCATCACCAAAGGCTCTGATCTTTATTCACCTTCAGCTTCATGACTCAAACCAGAAGGTGGCAGCGTGGCCGGTCTGAGAGCAGAACCTGCTTATTCTCTTTCAAAGTAAAACAATGTGAGATGATTTTATTTGACTGACATTGACTTCTCTCTGAGATTTTTCCAAAGGCCGACGCCCAGCGGTGCTCAGAGAGTCCAATCAGAGATGAGCTGCGTCTGATGTGGGGGACCTTTAATTCCCGTGTCTGTCAGACAGGAGCAGATTATGAGCGAGCATCAGAGACAGGATGGTTTTTATCTGAGCGGAGATAAGACTCAGTAATTACAACAGAGAAAAGGCCAGAGACGCTCTGACATCACACAGGAAACATCTTCTTCATCCAATCAAATCTCATTTAACGGCTGAAAACCTCAGAACATTTAATCAGGAACT